GATGCGAGATGCAACATCAGAAGTATTACTTGTTGCAACATCAGAACAAAAAAAAAAGAACAACATCAAAACAAGGCTACTGATCAAAACAAAGCTATTGCAATGCGAGATGCAACATCAGAAAAAAAAAAAAGAGACTAATGTAACCAAAAAAAAATTACTTGTTGCATCAGAACAAGGTTACTGTAATACGAGATGCAACATCAGAAAAAAAAAACTAATACAACAAATAAATATTACTTATTGCAACAGCAGAACAAGACTACTACGACATCAAATTCATTCAGTAGCAACATGAAAAGCGTTGCCTTCGTAAAAAAAAAAAAAGTCAGCTGGCTAGAAAGAAGGGTGCCGGTGGATGAGTGGCCACCCGCGCAGCCCGGCTCGGTGACGAGCGCCAGGCCTAGGTGGGGGCGCGCGAGGCGGCGACCGGCAGGGTGCCTCTCCGACAGCTCGGCCTCTGCGCTCAGGACGGCAGTAGAATCTCGTGGCCTCCGCGGTCACGCCATGAGCGGACAAGGGAGTGGGGGCTCACGGGATGGGACAGGGGGGGTGTCACGGGATGCAATAAGGGAGCGGGGGGTGTCACGCATCGGGGCCACGTCTGGACGCGAGTTGCGGCCGAACGTCCTTTAGAATCATTATTGATTTTGAAAATACGGGTACCTAAGCCACCTGGGCCGTGAATTTTTCTCCCCTTGAAAACAAACTCTGACTCATGGACATCTTTCTCGTAGCGGTCTGGTGCCGTATCTCTTCATCCGACTGCCAAGCGACCAAGCCCTCGAAAACATTAGAATATTGTAAGTTTTTTCACTCTCTTTTTATCATATCAAATCTTTGGACACATGTATGGAGTATTAAATATAGATAAAAAAATAACTAATTATACAGTTTGATTATAAATTACGAGACAAATTTTTTGAGCATAGTTAAACCATAATTGGACAATAATTATCAAATACAAACGAAAGTGCTACAGTACCCCACGCTGATTCTAACCCCAAGACAAGACCTATATAGAAGCACGCTGCGTCTGATTCCATTAGTACGGCCCTGTTTGTTTCCGTTTCTCCCAGATATGCTTAGATTATAATCTAAGCGAAGATTTTCTCGCTTCTCGTTTTTCGTTTCTCGTAGTTCAAATCTCTGAAGCGGCTTACCACATAAATGAGAATCGGTGAAAATAAGTAAAACGTTTAGCGGGATTCTCACTTATTTCCACCGATAAACCGCTTATAAGCGGAAACAAACAGGGCCGTTCAACGAAAAAAATACAGTCCGGTCCAAATCCCTGATCCGAGTACCCGATCGACCTTCCGAATTCCCGATCCAACCGGCATTCGTTCCCACAAGTCAATTCAGCTGATATCCCAAGGGAGGATCCTCAATTGCTTCGCTGCTTCCCAGTGCGCGTCGCGCGGATCAAGTGATGGATCGCCGGGACAGGGCGAGGCTGCGGCAGAGGATAAGACGTGCCCGCTGGCGATTCTCCCCGACGACGTGCTAGCGGACGTGCTCCGCCGCCTCCCGCCGCGTGGACTCGCCGTGTCCAGGTGCGTCTGCAAGGCATGGCTCGCCGTCGTCGACGCCCGTCGCCTGCTGCGGGCGGATCTCCTCCCCTTGTCGCTGGGTGGGCTCTTCATAAACTTCCACAACTACTACCTCTCGGACTTCTTTGCGCCCCACTCGGAGCTGTTTTTCTATTTTAGCCATTTTTACAAACTATTTCTACAAATAGACCCTGTCATAACTATTTGTAGAAATAGACCGAAAGCTCGGCGTACGCAGGCACCACGTCCAGGTATGCGACTCGGCGTTCCTTGATCTAATGCTGACCATGCCACGTCGCTACCAGCGTGGTAAATGCGGCAAAGCTCGGCGTGGAGTTCTTTAACGCTGAGGTTGGCTAGCTCGGCGTTGCACAAATTCACGCCTAGCTAAAGAACTTGTGAAAGCTACTAGTGCACATGCATGTTGGTACTTTATGCGTTTAATATTTTATGAATTTCATAGAAAATTAAATATTGACATGAGATCAGCTTTATTTAGATTGATAATGTCATCTATTATGCTTGATACAAATTCGTAAGGTTCCCAATTTCTTTCCCCAAAACATATTATTGTAATATAAAATTAGAAACAGGAGAAAAGGTGACTAGAGGGGTTTAAATGAGAGCCGATTTAGATTTTGGGTGAAATTAGCCGTTGTCCCAATACCGCCCACATAAACTGCAAAACGTCAATGTGAAATGCACACGAGTCAACTGGTGACTGGATGTCCTTAGAAAACTCTAAAGAACATAACGGAATGCACACTAAGGCAGGGCAGCGAGAAACACGGTGGAACACACAAAACCGCAACAAAGGAACACCTAGCAGTAGACAAGCCGGCTAGGCTGGTTCCCCACCCCGCTTAGCCGACTCTTCACACCCAAGTCAGCTTAGCCGACTACAGAGCTGGTGTTGGGAAAACGGTTCCCAGCAAGGTAAGACTCAAGAGGGCCTTCGCGTGAGTGAAGGTTGAACTCAAGTGAGAACACTAAGGTCTCCCTTTCTTTTACATGGGTTTGCTTCTCCCTTTTATAGGTCACTGTACACAGGAGAGTTAGTTTACAACTTTACCCTACAACCTACTGGGCATATTCCCAGGATATGCCGGTACTAGGTCTAGCCTCTAGGGGCATCTTGAGTCTTCTCTCCCCCCACTGCCTTGCCTTCATGGGCTTTAGCCATGAGCTTAGTGGATGCCGCCCATTAGCCTCGTATCTTGTGACCTTCCTTGGAGCCACACATGTGATGGGCGGAGGCTGTGAGCCTCCGCCGGTTCTTCCCGTCTTTCAGCTCGCCTCTCCGTCTTCCGTCCGACGGCCTTCGCCATGCTTGGCCTCGGGTTCAGCCATGGGTCTTCGTCGGCGGGTCTCCGCCAGTCTAGAGCCTTCGCATGGCCAAGCTGTCGCGAGCAAAGGTTTCTGTCGAATCCCTGTCTAAAAATGAGAACTATGGTAATGATTTGCAATTCCATCTAGGTGCATGGCAAAGGAGTTATAGAAAGGCGAGTTAGTCTTCGCGGCCAAGGTATCTGTGTCCCAATAGCTAACTTGGCCCTTATCTGCCTGGCACAAGAGCCTGAGGCTAGCTTAGCCGTCTTCCTAGCCGGCCTAGCAGCTTGATCATCTCTTGACAATTACTCATCATCACAACACACATGGGCACATTTTAATTATATGTTCGCATTAGCTATAAATCCAATTGAGCTGCTAATTAATATCCTCTCGTGCGGGGAGTTGCACTTAATGAATATTTCCTCTGGACCCATTTCTTAGGCACTCTCACAATAGAAACATTGCATGCAACAACAAATAGTGCGGTATTAATTATTATCACTCATAACGCCAGAACACGCTATCCTCTGCCATAAACCATTCGATAGCGATGGGGACTTCTAATCCGACAGTGATTATCAGTTCTAGCATACTCAGGCCCTGTTTAGTTCTAAAAAATTTTCACCCCAAAGTGTCACATCGAATCTTGCGGCACATGCATGGAGTGCTAAATGTAGACGAAAAAAAAACTAATTGCACAGTTGGGTGAGAAATCGCGAGATGAAACTTTCGAACCTAATTAGTCCATAATTAGACATTAATTGCTAGATACAAACGAAAGTACTACAGTAGCCAAACCCAAAATTTTTCACGAACTAAATGCGCCCTCGGTGTTTGGCCGTTCGAAATCCCAGGGTCGCGTATGCCTCGAAATGGCTGTGGAACCTTGCATACCGGCCTTTCTAAAAAAGTGCGAGAGCATCAATCGGTCTGGATGGGCATGTCTGTTCACCATTATTAGCTTATATATATATATATATATATATATATATATATATATATATATATATATATATATATATATATATATATGCGCGTACGTGATAGTTCATGCACAAGGTAACTAGCTTCTTCCCAAAATTATTTCTAGAATTTTTGGCAAATATTTTGTCAATGCATATTTTTTGTGTCATGTAGAGATTGGGGTGCAAACGAATCGGATACGGACAGATAAGGCTGATATTACATTTATTTTCTTATTTCTATTCGGATTCGAATACGGATAGGATCAGTTACTCAGCTACATCGAATAGAATACGAATGGATGTTGACATCGTAAGTATGCGATTTGAGTATTTGAATCTGGATCTGATGATCGGATGTTTTGAATATCCGGACTACGATACGGATAATTTGAACTCCTCTAAATGGATTTGGACTCGAATCTTTGTCGGAAAATATTTGTACCATTTGCACCCCTACGTAGAGAATAACATTATGGTTCTAATGAAATTACTCATGTCAATTGGATTTATATTTATCTTTCTATAAGTTTCACAAAATTTCTAGAGTTTACTAGTTTATTATTTTCAGATATAATAGATAACCACATCATGAATCTAAATAAAGCTGATCTCACGTCAATATTTAATTTCCTATGAAATTCACAAAATATTAAACGCATTAAAGTACAAACATGCATGTGCACTAGTAGCTTTCACAAGTTCTTTATCTTGGCGTGAGTTTGTGCAACGCCGAGCTAGCCAACCTCAGCGTTAAAGAACTTCACGCCGAGCTTTGCCGCGTTTGCCACGCTGGCGACGACGTGGCATAGTCAGCGATTGATCATGGAACGCTGAGTCGCATACCTTGGCGTGATGTCTGAGTACGCCGAGCTTTTCGGTCTATTTCTGCAAATAGTTATGCTAGGGGTCTAATTGTAGAAATAGTTTATAAAAAGGGCTAAAATAGAAAATTTTCACCCACTCGGACGGCCCCTGCATCTCCGGTAAGCACGACTACCTGCCTCAGGCCGATTCCTGGGGCTACGTAGACGACCACTGCAATGGTCTTGTGCTGATCCACGAGAACGACGACAACGACGGTGAGATTGGCTACGTGCTTAATCCGGCCACTCGATGGGTGGCTCCAGTGCCCCCGTGCCCACCCCCGCCCATGGAGATCAAGGACACCTTCCAAGTCGAGTACCTCGCGTACGATCCGATCGAATCGCCATACTTCGAGGTGGTTTCAATTACCCGTTTTCATTGGGTGAGAAAGCCTGGAGATTATCTCTACGACAGTTCTAGGGATGCAGAGATAGAACAATCTGAGTGGCCACCGTCGTTATGCATCTTACATGTGTTCTCATCTAGAACCGGACAGTGGGAGGAAAGGTCTTTTGCTCGAGAAGGTGATTCCATCGGAACCGTGTCTGGCATGAGACACTGGCCAGGAGACCAACGCAATGCTGTGTACTGGCGAGGAGCATTATATGTGCATTGTCAAACTAATTATGTTATGAGGTACATACTAACTCGTTACGCATTGTCATTTTATATGGTTTTAAATTTTTTATATCAAGTTATTTAATTTTCGCATCCTTTGGTTTTTATCTTTCTTAACAACGATCAATTTCATATTACAGAATATCTTTGTCGAGTGATAAGTATCATGTGATTAAACCACCACCAGGTGTTGAAGGAAAAAACTATCCACAATTTTATCTAGGGAAGTCATCTAAGGGGGTTTGTTGTGCGTCAATCCAGGGAAGATGCAGAGTTCAAGTTGGAACCTTGATGAATCAGGCTATCAGATGGAGTGGGTTCTGAAGCATGACAGGGACCTTTTTAAGTGGTTGTTGAAGCATAAGCTTCAGTATACAGGACCTTGGGCCTTGCAGGATATTAATTACTATTATGATAATCGCAATAGAGATCACGATATGGAAGCACCAGCAGAAGAGAAAATTGAATGGACCTCACAAGCATCTGAAGATGAGAAATTTACATGGAGCTCTGATGATGAATGTGGACACACTGGGTACGTGGATATTCTTGGGTTTCATCCGCGCAAAGAGATTATCTTCTTGAGTGAATCAATAACGCGAGGATTGGCCTATCACTTGAATAGCTCCAAGGTTGAAGTCTTGGGCAATATATATCCAGCAGGATATGACAAAGAATTATCAAATGAACGGCTTTTAGAATCATCTTTTCTGTATACACCCTGCTGGATTACACAAACTGCAGACGATGGAGAATAGTTGAAAAGGAAATCTCCAGTACATGTTGTAACGCATGCATGGGACAATAGGGTGTAATGCAATAGTGTTCACGATGGAGAATAGTTCAGTTTTCGTTCTATATTTTTTTTTAGATTTTAAATATGGATCGCTTTGGGACATTAGGTTGTAATGCAACAGAGTCCAGTTTCTGTTCTTTATTTTTTAAATTTCACAAATATGGATCGCTTTGGGACAATATAGGTTGTGATCTTTGGGTCTGCCTTTCACTTTTATTTGTGGCGACGATGATTAAATTATCAGTAGCTTGTTTGTCGTATCAGCCACAGTAATCTTTTTTGTCAGTTTGATTGAATAAAGCTATTGGGTGCCTTTCAAATTCCAATTCAATGCTTCCCCGTTGTGTTTCTTTGAAAAAGATTGACATGTCGGACAAGGACAAATATCCACAACGACCTCCCCTGAACTGAACTTCATGCACGTTCCTTCGTCTTCACTATATGGTGGTACTACTAGTAGTAGTATATTTTTTTTGGTTGATTCTTGATCGTTGCTTCCTTGTTTTTTTGTTGATTCTTGGTAGTTGCTTCCTTGCTAGGGAATGTTGGGAGGATTGTTGTTCGACTCTGAGGGTAATGCTTGATTATTGGGCTTGATTCACCTCACCATGCCCGATAACATTGATCAACGGTAGCAAGTTTTTGGTATGTGTTAACATTCTGACAGTGTCGGGCGACTTAGCTTTCATCCCCCAAGTGTCTGCCTCCCTGTGCTGCCATTGAGAAATCACACCACTACCCGTTCTCACCATGAGACCGCCTAGATCCGAGAGAGACATGAGAAAGCAAGGCTGTGAGGACCATGGTGGCAAGCTCCTTGGCTTGATCATTATGTGCTCCGTGGCATGCGACCGAGATCAGCCCATACCGGCGCCGAGGATAGAGGAGTGGCGTACGAGGAAAATGGCAGCTGTGTGCTTCATCGTCGCTGAGGAAGCCGTCCCAGCGTCAGAGTAAAGAGAGACAGAGAGTGAGAGACTAAGGTTTGGGTGAAAACGATCGAAATTATAAAAAAATTCCTTCAACCAATATTTAGATTTGGAGATGGTATGCGCAGTGGCTAGCTTTATCTGATTGTATCTTTAGAATTTATCTTTTTGCAAATAATTTTACTTATTTGCTTCATTGTATTGGTTCACCCATATTGCATTTATCATCACGAATTTCATATAACTATCGATGGGCCTTTTTTAGGCTTAAAACTGTCGTTGTCTCTATCACCTTTTGTTTTTCTCCCACTACTACCATGTGGTTGTGCAATTTCTATTGATGTACATTGATGTAAAATCAAGATAGTCTTTAGTTTTAGTTTAATCCTCAAGAAAACTATGGTCTTAAGTCTCTCACAAATTGTTTAGTTTCTTGTCATTTTCTAAATTTAATTGTTGGATCACCTTGAATTCTCCGGTCAAACTATTAACTTTTCATATTTATCATTAAAAATTTTGCCTTTAGCAATTGTGTTTTTATATGGAATGCATCGAGTTGTTTTTTCCAGTTTTTATGGAAATCAAATTATTGTTTTTATTAATTTACTTAGTATTTCAAATTTATCGGGTACCACTTATATTAAACATGGTGTCTTTGTTTACTTTACATTGTTAGATCATCATAAAAATTAATGATCTGTGTTCTTTTTTATTTTTTTCTGATTAATCTCATAATTATATTAGGCATTGATTCTTCAATTTAATCTATCCATCAAATTAAAATAAAATCTAACTAATAGGGTTTTTCCTCGATTAATCTCGTAACTATATTAGAACAGGAGTGGACCTACCAATAGGACGTCCGTGGTCTGCCTACATACCTACCCGTCTGCTAGTGAGAATGAGGTGGTAGAGTATCATATCAATTAATTTTATTCCATGAATCAAACAAAAGGTGATGAGTGTGAAGATGATAGGCCACCCATTTTCAATCAAACACGACCTGAAGAGATCCACTTATTGGTAAATCGTAAGCTGCCTAGCATCTATTTTTCAGTCAAACACGACCTGAGGAGACAGGGCTTGGAGAGAGGGAGAGAGCCAGATATTGACATCAGCAACTGTGCTGGCAAAGACCTGACAAACATCCAAGGAGCGATCATCAAACGTCTTGAAACCCAGCTTTCCAATTGTTCCAGAGGATGGTAGAGAGTAGAGACGATATATAAGTCGACTTGAACTTCTAGTTCTAGGCCAGTCTTCAGAACTGGTTTAAACCTGATCATTCCTCGGGTCTCCCTTCTTCCAGTATAGAGTTTCTCTGTCTTCAGGCTGTGACAACACAATAGTTCCTCTCCTCCCATTCCCTCCTCAAGAACTTGGACGGGAGTGTTCGGCTGGCTGTAAAGCCGCTGGTGTTGATTTTTATGGTTGATTTTTTAAGAGAAAAATCTTTGTCCATGGCTTATAAATGTAAATGAATAAGCTGGCTGATAAGACCAGCCGAACACTCCCGACCTCCCATGTCTTGATCAGGAAACACAACCTGACTGGGTCAGTTTTGTTCAGGCTCTCCCTGACCTTCCTCTGAAAATTTCTTTTCTCTGGCTCCTTCTTGTTGCAGCTTTCCTTGATCCAGATTCATCCATGGATCAGTAAAGTAAAAAAAGACACCATGGCTCCTTCTTGTTGCATCAAATTCACTCTCTTGATTCTTGTTCCTCTTCATCAGTAGCCTCTCCATCTTCTTCCTGAATTCCCATGTTTTGATTTTCCATTTCATTGCTCGGTTTGTCTCCTGCTAGAGAGACCAAGAGATCTGGCATTTCCAAAATTCAGAGACATCTAGGTGCCTCAGCACTCACCGTGGGATGGTTACAGCAAGTCCAATCAAATTCATTCAAAAGCACAGTCGAAAATGATTCATCAATTGAAATAATGCAATTTACATCACGGTGCTCACAACAAGTTTACTAAGTGACAGACTCACGATGCACATCTCATCTGGAATGAGATGATCTATCAAACCAAACACTTCCTAGCTGCAACTTTCAAACTGCTACATTGCCATGAAAACGTTAATCGGAGCTATAGTTCTTTGCTTATCATAGAAATGGTGCACAGTCTCATGCCCGTTCGTTAAAAAAAAACACGTGGGAAGGAGAAGGACTGGGACGAAGGAGGGAGAGAGTTTTTGTGGGCCGGAAACGGCCTATTGGCAGCGCCGCACCTCCACGCTGGCTCTTTCCTCCGCACCTGCGCCGCCTCTCCCCTGGCCACGGTCGACGTCTGCTCCCTCGTCGTCGCGCCCAGCGCGGTCTCGCCCACCCGCGCCAGGGCAAAGGGGCCCACAATCCCGATCCGAATTTCCGAACAATCCCCCGTATCATTCCACACAACAAACAGTCGATTCTCACTCCCCTCAAAAAAAAAAAGTCAGATTCAGAGATCTGACGAGGGGACAGGAGCTCAATTGCTTTTTCTTCCCAGTGCGGCGTCGCAGATCAAGATCCCAATTCCCAAGCGAGCAATGGATCGCCGGGAACAGTGCCGCAGAGAATAAGGCGGCGCGCTGGCGCTGCTGCCGGACGACGTGCTAGCGGACGTGCTTCGCCGCCTCCCGCCGCGGGGCCTCGCCGCGTCCAGGTGCGTCTGCAAGTCTTGGCTCGCCATCGTCGACGCCCGCCGCCTGCTGCGGGCGGATCTCCTCCCCTTGTCGCTGGGTGGGTTCTCCATGAACTTCCGCGGGTACTACATCTCGGAGTTCTTCAGACCGCTCTCAGACGGCCCCTCCATCTCCGGCAAGCACGATTACCTGCCTGAGGCCGGATGCCTTTCCTGGGGTCTACATAGACGACCACTGCAATGGTCTTGTGCTGGTCCACGACTACCCTGACAACTACCCCGACAACGGCGACGAGTGTCGCTACGTGCTTAATCCGGCCACTCGATGGTTGGCTCCCTTGCCCCCGTGCCCAACCCCGCCCATGGAGATCAAGGAAACCTTCCAAGTCGAGTACCTCGCTTACGATCCGATTGAATCGCCATACTTCAAGGTGGTCTCAGTTACCCGTTTTGGTTGGACGCCCGAGCCTGGAGATTTTCTCTACGGCAGTTCTAGTGTTCCACTAGACCCTGAGATAGAACAATCTGAGTGGCCACCATCTGTATGCATCTTACATGTGTTCTCATCGAGAACTAGACAGTGGGAGGAAAGGTCTTTTGTTCGAGAAGGTGATTCCATGGGGATCGTGTCTGAAATGAGACGGGACTGGCCAACCGAACAACGCAATGCTGTGTACTGGCGAGGAGCGTTGTATGTGCATTGTCAAACTGATTATGTTATGAGGTACATACTAACTCGTTAAGCATCATCATTTTATTCGGTTTTAATATTTTAAACAGGTTGTTTTCTTGTCCTTTGGTTTTCATCTTTCTTTCTAACAACGATTTCATATTACAGAATATCTTTGTCGAGTGATAAGTATCCCATGATTAAACCACCACCGGGTATTGAAGTAAAACACTATCCACAGTTTTATCTAGGGAAGTCATCTAATGCGGTTTATTGTGCGTCAATCAAGGGAGGCTGCAGAGTTCAAGTTTGGAATCTTGATGAATCAGGCTGTCAAATGGAGTGGGTACTGAAGCATGACAGGGACCTTTCTAAGTGGTTGTTGAAGAATAAGCTTAGTATCGACCACGTGCAGATTATGGTCGAAAAATCCAAGGACCATGGGCCTTGCACGATATTAATTGAGTCTGTCTAGTTAACAACCATGTGTTTTTTTTAGTTTCAACACATGAATTTTTTTACACCGTAGAATTAAGATCTAATAACCTCCATCCTCCTTCTACCTCTAGTCTTCTTCTACCTCTAGTCTTCTTCTACCTCCAGCCTTCTTCTACCTCCAGGCAATAACAGATCACAAGATCACAAATCTATATATCACATGAAACAAATTTTTTTCTATGTAAGGACAAGAGGACAAATCGCAGCAGACAGCGAGAGTGTGGGTGTGACTGTGACGCTGACGACTGTGGACTGCCTGCTTGCTTTTCTACGAGTACTACTCCCACGACTCCGGCCCATTTCGTTTCTGCGGCCGCGCGTGGGACCATCGGAAGCGGCCGGCAACATGATGAACCGTTGCCCACAGTTGAAAAGAGAGAGGGATAGAAGGAGAGAAAATCCATGTGTTTTTTATGCTAAAACATATGTGTGTTGTATAGCATTTCTGTATTAATTATTATTACAATAATCGCAATAGAGATCATGATATGGAAGCACCAACAGAAGAGAAAATTGAATGGGCCTCACAAGCAGCTGAAGACGAGGAATTTACATGGAGCTCTGATGATGAATGTGGATCCGACGGTGGGTTGGAGATTCTTGGGTTTCATCCATGCAAAGAGATTATCTTCTTGAGTGAATCAATAACGCGAGGATTGGCCTATCACTTGAATAGCTCCAAGGTTGAAGTCTTGGGCAATATTTATCCAGCAGGATATGAGAATCAATTACTAAATGAACAGTTCTTGGAATCATCTTTTCCGTACACACCCTGCTGGCTTACACAAACTGCAGACGATGGAGAATAGGTGAAAAGGAAATCTCCAGTACATGTTGTAATGCACGCAGCTTGCAACAGAGTTCAGTTTCTGTTCTTTATTTTTTTAAGTTTAAATATGGATCGCTTTGGGACAATAGGTTGTAATGGAACAGAGCTCCAGTTTCTGTTCTTTATTTTTTAGATAGAGTTCAAATGTGGAGCGCTTTGGGACAATATAGGTTGTAATCTTTGGGTCTGCCTTTACTTTTATTTGTTGCAACGCTGATTAAATTATCATTAGCTGGTTTGTCGCATCAGCCACAGTAATCTGTATTTTTTCCCCTGTTTGATTGAATAAAGCCACTGGGTATATAAATTTCAAACCAAAATCTCTTCCAAAGTTTTAGTTAGCTCCACTCCTTCCCTCCTCAAGAATCTCCTCAAATAGATGTATAGCTACATGATCCTGTTCCAATGTCCCAGTTCCTGTTAATGCATCAAACTGGTCCAACCTTCCCGTGTCTTGATCAGGAAACACAACCTGACTGAGTTCGTTCAGGCTCCCCCTGACCTTCCTCTGAAAATTTCTTGTCTCTAGTTCTTCCTGCGGTCTTGGATGATCCAGACTATTTTTGGTTGGCTCCTTCTTGTTGCAACTTTCCTTGATCCAGATTCATCCATGCATCACTCTCTTGTGATTCTTGTTCCTCTTCATCAGTAGCCTGTCCATCTTCTTCCTGAATTCCCATGTTTTGATTTTTCACTTCATTGCTCGGTTTGTCTTCTGCTACTATAACACCCCAAAATTTAAAATTTTGAAAATAGAGCTAAAATAATTTAATTTGGAATTTATGTGCACATGAAATATAAGAAAATAAAATTTTTCATTAAATTAAAATCCATCATAAGCTAGCAACATGTTTGACCATACATGCCCTTGCATTTGATTTATTTGGTTGAGTGGTTTTGATTGAAAATTTAAAATGGTTTCAATTGCTTTTGCAAATGAAATTAAAAAAATGGCTTTGAAGTAAAGGAAAAGAAAGAAAAGAGAATGAGAAAATAAAAGAATTTAAAAAGGTGTAAAATTTATTTTTGAAAAACTTACTAAAATTTCTCATTCCTTGAATTGAGAAGTATATTGAAAGTAATAATTGAACTTGATTTGATACCTAATTGAAATTGGTTTTGAAATAGGAAATAGAAAGGATTTGGAAGAAAAAAAACTCTCCTCCCTCTCTCTGGCCCGAAGGTCATCTTTTCTTTTTCCCCGCATGGGCCAGGTTTGGCCGCAGCCCACTCTCTCTTCTATTCCTCTCCTGCGGCCCAGCTTCCCTCTCTCCAACAGCCCGCGCGCAGGCCTGCTCTTCTCCCTCCTTTCCCCGCCTTGACGCCAGCCCATCCTTGCGGCCCAGCGCCACCCGCCCTCTCTCCGCTCGTGGGCCGGCCCAATCCGAAGCTGCCGCGCCGCGCGTCCCCTTCCTCTCTCTTGCGCTGGCCGGTGGGGCCTCCCTGTCAGGCCCGCCTTCCACCTTCATCGTGTCCTGCTCGGACTCCGCCGCCGTGAGTCCCCGGCCACGCCAACTCTGCTGATGCCGTGCGCCACAAGTTCCTCTGTCTCATAAATAGCGAGCCCGTACCGTGCCGCCTATCTCCGCGCCCTATCTCGCACCGCCCTTGCCCCGAGCTAGCCAGCGTCGCCTGGATCCCGCCAGGTGGAGCTCGACGCCGCCGAGACGCCTTCGTAGCTTCACCACCGCCCTGATCCCCTACCGAAGCTTCGAGTGGTGGTAAGAAGTCTGCCAGTACTTGTTTTTCCCCATCTCTCGTTCCGAATCGTCTTCACGAACTCGCCGAGGTTGCCGAGCCGCTATTGCTCGAGGAGCGGTGTCTCCGGTGCTTGGAGGCCCCCACCAGTGCCCTAGTCGCATTCGCCATCTCCTTCTCCTTCTCCCCGTGTTCCTAGTTAGTTCTCTCGTGGCCCGTAGGTGTTTTCCCGTAAACGCCGTCGAGCTTCTCAATGCCGGTCATGGCGCCGCCGTCTGGAAACTACACGCCGGCGACCCCCATCCCCCTCTCCACTCTCGGCCGTCCATCTGGAGATCAAGAGCTCAGATTAGAACGTACTCCTTCGCTGGCGCTTTTGTAAAAATCCCCTTACAATTAATTGAATCTTAACCCGCGGTCCAAAGCGCAATCACATATTACGTTTTCTTCTTTGGAAAGCGTAGTTTTATCGGTTTAGATCCAAAATACGTTTTCAGCTATTTACAGTTTTGCCACTAATCTTGTTTTAGTCATAACTTCTCCGTTTTAACTCCGATTTGATTCGTTCAACTTGCGTTAGGTTCGTAATTTCATAATCTATGTGTTCATACTACAATTAAGTATGTTTTCAACTTTTAAAATTCAAGGTTAGATTTAATCTATTATTTTATTAAAGAAAATCTTGTTTAAATCCTATCTTCTACGTTTTAGCTCCGAATTGACCCATTCAAGTTATGCTAGATTCATTGCAACGAGATCTACGTGTTAGTAACAGTGTTTACCATATTACTATTTCTAAAATTTTATGGTTTAAATCATATCTTGATTAATAACTATGCAACTGAATATTATAAAAAAAATATGATTTGTTTTACTTTAGTTTTATAATTCAAATCCAAAATTGACTTAATTCAATTTATATTATTTATAAACTATCTTATATATATGAATTTATATAATTAAAATAAATGAAGCCTATAGTTTTCTTTTATACGTATAAAGCAAATCTATCGGTAGATGTATCTTTTTCATCGTAGCTCCGATTAGCGTGTTTTTCGCGTCTGTATGTTCGTAGTGAGACGTATTCGTATTACAAACTTTTCATCTTGATTTTATATTTGATGTACTGTTCTAATTTAGATCTATTGTTTGCTTCGTGTATGATTGCATGGATGCTTGTGTGGTGCTCTATGATCATATACAGTCGGTGAGCTATACGTGGTGAATCAAGAAGCAGATCTTTGAAGGTTTGAACTAGAAGAAGGATCTAAGTTTAAGGCAAGTATAGTATGGAATCTTCCTTGTTGTTCTATACACCTTTAATCATTTAATTCATACTGCATGTGTCTACCTTAACAACCGTAGTAATTTTCCTAGCTATTTAATATCCTGGATTCCTTGTCACCTATGGGGTATTGCATTGGTTAGTATGATGCTAGTGCTCAACTAAAGTCATAATCTTGTAACTTGACTAATGGTATATGCAATAAACACTAAAAGATGTTTTTTAGCAACATAGAATCAGGGGGCTAGAGCATTGGGTTGTTTTTATGGTGCTCTAGATTCCTCTCCCTAAGGACTTATCTGTAAGTGATCATCTAGGATTTACAGTACAACTGTGAGGACTACATGGCTCTGGCTTTAGCTCAGTATAAGGACCTTTTCTAACTTGTTAGTGGTTACCTTTATTGGCGTAAGAATGGCTTGACGAATCGAGTATAGTGCGACCTCTGTCCCCTTGTGTATAGACTGCGCGTCATTGTGCCATCGGGAAGGGGGGCTCTACATCTGTTTGCCGGGTGAATCTAATGACCATAACTTGTTAGACGAACCTTTGAAAGGCTTCATAGTGAACCCTACCGACCTTCCTTGGTAGTGGGTCAAGGGGCTGATCACCTCGGACGAAAGGGTAAATCACGACTCACAGTGAAAGTGTACAACCTCTGCAGAGTGTAAAACTGTATATCAGCCGTGCTCACGGTCACGAGCGGCCTTGGAACATTTACGGAATAGATGAACACTGATGATACTGATGATGAAGATGCTCACTAATGAAGACTGGTTATGCTATTCATTATTCATGTTAACATGATCATGTGTTTATATGGGCTTGTGGATAAACTTGTTGCTACTCAATTGCTAAAATCATGACTCATTAAAAGCTAATCGTAGTTAAACCAGTGTCAGCCTTTTGAGCCTCATGAACCCCATGTTATATTTGTTGAGTACGATATGTACTTACGCTTGCTTTACTTTTCAAATATTTGGATAAAAATCCCGGATGAGTACCAGATTGCTAGAGTTTGGAGGAATTAGGCTTGTGATCAA